CAAAGGATACATTATTATGCACACATTGTGGGAAAGAATGGAGCATTATAATTATAACTCTCTGTTACAGCTTTCGCTGAGGTTGATCAAGGACAGGCTTTTGTTACTGAATTGTTCCTGTAATTACATCAGAACTAACAGGCATCAGTCACCTTCCATTCCGGGCGGGAGAGAAGGAGCCTTACTTATTTAAGTGATCCCGTAAGGTGCTGAGTGAATCATCCTCAACCTCAACCATCATAAGGCCTTAAAAATAGAAAGGAGCGGTTGACACCATCCTATAGCAGGTTTGTAAGGAACAGAAAAGTGCCAGATAGTTTTTAAGGAGAAGAGCTGCCTGAAGTGATGTCCCAGGCCACATGTGAATAGCCTATTGGCAGCAGTTCTCAGACTTGAGACTACATCCCAGACTCCTGCGGGGGGCGGGGCTTGTTCAGATAGATGGCGGGACCCCAACCGAGTTTCTGATTGGTAGGCGCGTGGTGGGGTCTGAGATTTTTGCATTCCCAACTTGCCCAGGTGATGATGATGTTGCTGCTTCCAGGGCTGTACGTTGAGAGCCATTAGGCTAGGGGAGAGAAACAGGTGTAACTCGGATGGTTCCAAAACCAGAATTTTAAGATTAATTCCCTGGTGGCTGTTAAAAATAATTTTGATGAAAATACTGAGCTTTGTTTGGGGTTATGTGCCAGTTTTGTAAAGGGGATCTGCTCTTTGTGACGTCAGTGAATGTTAAAAATAGTTGCAAACCTTAGTAAGTGGTCTCCTGGCCCGTGTCTTGGTAAAATCTTGGGTAAACTTGTTTGGCTACAAGTATTCTCTCTGTAATCCAAGTTAGTGATGAATTCGGAAGTCGTAAGGAATGCATATTTTTTTCTTATTTGTAAATCGAGCACTTTACCTAGGGACTGTCTGTAGAATGGTCATGTTAGGTAAGGGTATTCCAGGGCCCAAGGCACTAAATCGTTGTTAATTGTCAGACCTGCCTGACAAAATAGGTGTTAGCAAAATCAAAATGTAATGCATCGGGCACCACCAGGCTGTGGTTCCAGGCTTCTGACCGGTTCTAGAACTGCCCTTTTATTATCCTCTTATAGGAGTAACAACCACAGTAATAATAATTGCTAACATTTGTAGAGGGTTCGCTGCCTCTCTGATGTGGCAGCTGTGCTTTTTGGGCGTAGTAGTTTGTGAATCCCCCCATCCTTTCTGACTGAGGCGCTGTGGTTATCTCTCCTTCAGACACAAGGAGACAGAGGCTTGGAGAGGCACTGGCTTTGTGAGGTTGGGCCTCTGCATTTGAGTCCAGGCGGTGTGAGCCATGTGAGGCAAATTTAGATTGGAGTCTATTTTGGGAATCTCTCAGTGGAACCTTGATGAAAGAGCTCACCGAAATGGAAAGATGCTAGCAAGTTTGAAATGGGATGAAACCAAACGTATCAGGTCAAAATTGTAGAAGTTCTGATGTCAAGGACCACTCTAGATCTTTGTAACTGGGCAAAATTTTGCTATGCGGTAAATTTAGCTGCTCTGCCCAACCTAAGGTGAAAGCCATATATGAAGCCACTCTTGTAATTATGGGCCTTTTTTTCTCTGTGACTATCTGATGTTCCTTACGGAAGACTGAATGACTTAAATCTTATAATGATAGGGAAGTATACTCAATATTTTGTACTAACCTTTAAGGGAAGAGAATCTGAAGAAGAAAAAACTATATATATAACATATAGAAATATATATTAAATTGAATCGTGCTGTACAACTGAAACTAACACGATATTGTAAAATCAATTATACTTCAGTTAAAAAAATAAAAAGAATTAAAGGAAAAAATTTAAAAATGCTTATAACGATGGTCATGATTTGTTTCTAATGTGTAAGCGCTCAGTGGCCTTATCGTTGGAAGTCTTTTTTCTAGACATGAAGATATTATAAGCAGAGCCATAAACTCCCTTCAACTATTTGCTCACATGAATCAATGTCGGGACAGCTTTGGTGTTCACAATGAGCCACCTTTGCTTAGGCTGTGGAAAAGAAGAGAGGGAAAGCCTGCTTTGAGTTGTATCCCCGGTCACATAAAGATTCTGAGATTCTCTATTTGGAGAGACATTGTCCATAGGGAATAAGAGGATGGAACACTTGGGTGTAAAATTGAAAAGGGATCAACCCGACAGATGAAGGTGCTGAAGGGCATTAGGGACAAAGAGGTGTGAGACCCACCGGCCTGGAATTGGCCTCCATTATCCTGTGTCGTCAGATGCCGCGTAGGTGCTGCAGAGGTGGTCCTTGAACAAGCTGGGTTTACCATGGCTCACTTTTAGAGATGCTTTGAATGGGGAAGGGGCGATAGGCAAGATACGCAGATGCAGACTTCTGATAGAATGCCGCTTTAGAGGGCAGAGCTCATCAAATAGGTTGTTTTGTTTGTGGGTCATTTATAATATATTTTATCCAAAATATAAAATGAAAGGGGTATAGGTTGGTTGAAAATGGGATTCCAATTTTTCCTAGCTACTCTCTATCTCCAGTGATTGCTACCTTATTCTTTCTAGATTGAATTGCATTCCCATGATCTCTATTTACAAGTGCTTTCACAAGTTTAGGTATAATTAAGGGAGGAAAATCAAAGCATAAGCCCAAGAAGAGATTGAGGGAGCCTATTATTAATACCTAGAAAAGATACTTTGGGTAAAATCTTGATGAAAGCTGTGGAGTGGTGCTGGTTTTGAAAATTAGGAAGGAGAAAGGACTTCCTTCAACATTTTCTTTATCTATAGACGCAACTAGAAATGGCTATAAACTTTAATCTTATATACCTGGCTCTGCAGGAAATGATATTTAAGATTAGTTGAACATTAAAGCTTTGCTGAGGATAAAAGTGAATGGCCTTTGGGTTTCTTGGTGACCACGAATTTTGCTGATGTATAGAGCCAAGCGTAATGCAGTAGTTTGCGTATGACTCAGGGAATAGCTTGTCTGATTCTTAAAGTGAAGTCGAGATTGAGTTCTTAATTAGTCTGAGTATTATTAAAGAAAATCCAGATTTGAAAGCGTTGGGGGGAGGTAAAGGGTAATGAACTTTTCTCTTCCTTTTGGCACATCATGAACATTTTGACTTATGAATCATACCAGTGTCACTACTGGTATGATTCATTAAGTCACCACGGCCTGTGCACTTGATCGCAACATTCAAAGGCAAATTGCCAGGTAATATACCAAATTAGGTGTTTATGAAAACATACAGAAAAGAGTTAAGGCACTGAAAGTAAGTTGATATTATTTCAGTCGGAGGCACATGGGTGTTCATTTTGTTAGCTGACGCTACTACATGAGAATGTATCTTGGTGCTGCTTACAGGAGTTAGTAGCTTTTTCTGTATCATGATAACCCATTCCTTCACCTCAAAGCTATCTCAGAATGAAGCTGGTACAAAAGGGGCCCCCGCCAGTTGCTTCCAGCCTTCTACCCTTCCTTAGCAAGCATTTGAGGCCAGACTGTTTCATGGAGATGGTGGATTTGGAATAACAGCAGGTTGAATCTGCTCTTGTAAGTTGCCCCGGTGCACCAGCCCTCTGCTATTGTTCAGAGACTGTTGACACAGACAAAAATGTTAGTGCTGTGAAGGGTAGTTATATGCTGCAGACCATATAAAGAGAGAATCATCTTTGTATTAAAAAAACAAAACTCTTTCAGACATTTTCCAGCAGAATATGGTACATGTTCTTCCATGAGGGTCTTAAGTAAAAAGTAGACCAGTTGGCTAGTCTTAGAAGACTTCTGGGCAGTTAGTTTGAAGATGGGTCTGTTCAGCATCGTCTTTATTCTTTGCCTCTCCCTCCCTCTCCTTCCCTCCCTCCCTCCCTCTCCCTCTCTCCTTCCCTCCCTCCCTCTCCTTCCCTCCCTCCCTCTCCTTCCCTCCGTCTCTATTGAGCTCTCTTTCAGTTTTATAATTCTCTGCTGATAAATTCCATGAATATCAGAAACACACTGTAATGTATTTGTTAAAAGGACATGTTTTCCCCCTTTTGTTTTTCTGTAAAGGAGTTTTTTTTTTTTTTTTTTTTAAAGAAGATGTCGTTGGTAGGAGTTTATTAGTTAATTAATTTATTTTTGCTGTGTTGGGTCTTCGTTTCTCTGCGAGGGCTTTCTCTAGTTGTGGCAAGCCCACTCTTGATCGCGGTGCGCGGGCCTCTCACTATTGCGGCCTCTCTTGTAGCGGAGCACAGGCTCCAGACGCGCAGGCTCAGTAGTTGTGGCTCACGGGCCTAGTTGCTCCGTGGCATGTGGGATCCTCCCAGACCAGGGCTTGAACCTGTGTCCCCTGCATTAGCAGGCAGATTCTCAACCACTGCGCCACCAGGGAAGCGCAGTAAAGGAGTTTTATAGAGGGAAAATATTAGTGATATCAGAAGCACACATAGTAGATATATTTCTAAAATGGCTTTTTACTGCTTTTCTGGTTTTATTCAAGGTGAAGCAGGTACAAGTAATCTGTTATATTTAAATGAACAGGCTTGTAATTCAACTGGCTTTATCTCTTATTGCAGACTCCTTGGTTTTTTGTCGTAGAGCTATGTATTTTTAAATCATGTGTATATACCTACTTGAGACTCTGTGTATAAATTAATGTAGTCTAGTCCGGAAAGCATTAGGATTGGTAAAAGCTTTGGTTTAATGCCTCCTGAGACTTGGAACAAAGAATGGTTTTGTGGAGATGCTCCATCTTTGCCAAATGTAGCCTTACTCCTGCTGAACTAATAATGGATGGATTTGGATCCTAACAAGTGAGATAATGTAATTTTTTAGATAAATGCCTCTGGGTGTTGAAGTGATAGGGAATGCTCACCTAGCTATTTTTCGGTATTTATCTTAAAAGTCATTCGGGTTCCGAAATGTGAGAGGCCTAGTTCGCAGAAGCTCTTTGTCAGCCTGTCTGTTTGCAATGGATCAGGTTCTTAAAGGGGAGAAACTTAAAAATGTCTTTGTTCTTGTGATTGCAGGAGTGATTACTTCTCTGTCGTAGACATTGGAGGCGGATCCATCAGGCCATGTAAGTACCATAGTAAGCACATATTTACCTGGCTAAGCACAGACCTGGGATATTTGCCCTTAGCGGGAGAGGACCGAGGATTTGAGTCAGACGTTAGCATTTGGAACCATCAAAATGCACCACAGCCCCAAAGGGCCAGGGGGTTGCCCTTCTAGCGCAACTCAATCCCAAGGAGACGTACGTCTCTGGCTATCTGGTTGAAACCTGGTGGAATTTATCTTTTGGGTTAGCTGGGCAAGAATGTTTTATCTGCCTCGAATTAGTGAAGTGACTGGAGCAGAAGGTCATTTATTACTTAGTCATTATCAAACGTAAATGTATTGGGCTGGATTATGGCCTGATACTCTTAGGTGGAAGGGCTGGCCCCTTCAGACACAGAGGATCATGGTGTGAACATAAATAAGCAAAGCCAATGAAGTGGAGAGTGTGACTCAGAATGACTGCATAATCTCTGAACTGTGTCTGTATCAAGGAATTGTTCACGGAGTACATTTTCCTAAGCCCCCAGTTATGAACATATTTTACGGAGGAAGCACTTTGCTGAGTGCTTCCTTGTTCTAACTGTGTGAATAGTCCTGAGTGCTTAAAACCACTGTCTAAGCTACCTTTGAGAGTCACCTTGGTAAATCAGACATTCAGCTTGGGAGCAGAATTTTTGGATTTTACAGGCTAATAGGATTTGGGTGTCAAGGTTATGGGACCAGCAGAATGAAACGTGAAACATTCATAATTCTTGTTTCTCTTATGTGTGTGGATCTTTGAACAACCTTTGTCCCTAACAACATCACAGGAAAAGCCATTCCAGCAACTGACAAGCAGATGAATGTCTGATGTGAATAAAAGCCTTAGTTAGAACTCAAATTATGTGACCATGTGACTTTTATCAGAGGCTTCTCTCTAGCTGTCACCTTGAAAATTTGGCCCGCTGGGAGAAACCAGAGAAACAAGAAGTGTCTCTGTCAGAACCTCAAAGAGATTTTGCGTGTCTAAAGACATAGGGTTTTGTCTAAGAACAAGCATATTTAATCCCTCTTACACATCCCCCTACCTCCACATCACACACATGACTGAAAGGGAGTGGTTTTCAGTTCAGGGACCAGACAAGTAAACCATCTATCTTCAAGGGTCTGTTTTGAAACTAGTGAAGTGCCGACAGATAAGGAAGTCCGTTCACTGCCCTCCCAAGAGGTGCCAGGCATGGCAGCTGGGGCTGTAGCATGCTGGCATCGTGAAGAATAGGAGCTGGCTCTGCGGTCCCTGATACCCAGGTGCAATGGCTTATGCTCTGGGAAGGATGTGCATCTTTCTGCCTCTCCTCTGCTGTGATTTTCTTTTTCTTTTTTTCCTGCACTGTGTGGGGTTGACAGTCTTTGTGGAGCACGCAGACGTGTTGGCATCATGTGGCACTCCTGGGCTGTGTCTACCTGCCACCAGATATGGTGTCACCTTCCCCCTTCAGCGCGCCAATACCTAGCTGCCTTTGGAAGGGCCTCTTGGCTCCTTTCAAAATAACTACTGAAAGAGCAGCTGTCTGTCAGCCTCCTCCAGAACCATGGAATTGGGCTGCTGTCAACCTGTTGGAGGAGTTCCCAACGCAGCAGACTGGCTGTCACTGACATTTATAACTTGAAAGCCATATCACAGATGAGTTTGCGTGTCTTACCATCTTTTAAATTAGCCTTCAGATTATAAAGCACACTCTCCACACTTTGACAACGCCCAGGACTTTGGAGGTGGTTGGGTCTTCCTGAAGGTGTGGAGAAGCAGTCACCCTTCTCCCCTGGCCATTTTGTAAAACTGTCTTTCTTCTGATTCAACGGGAAAGAAGTTGTCCCAGCTTTAGGCTTGGGTTTATGTGTAACCCTGAGTCGGTTTAGATCAGGGAAATGACTGGCTTCTGGAAACAAATGACTCTAACTCTGCTACAGAGTCTGTGGTAAGAAAGGGTGTTGCTGGGAAATGGGTGTCAGAAAATGTTTCTCACATAGGTTGGTAGATCTGTACCTGGTTTTTTATGCCTTAGTTTCTCAAAGAACCATCTCTGAGTTTCATTTCTGGAGACCTGACCGGAAGAGAAGGATGCAGTGTTGATAAAAATGGAAGTTAAAACCATAGCCACCCCAGCAGATCTCGTGAACACACACTGCCAGAGGAGAAGGCTAAGGCGCAGGAGGGCAGCAGAAGGCGTGTTCCTCACTGTGGGTCTGTCTAGACTGTACATTCCTTGAGCACGAGGGTTGGCCTTATTCCTTTTCACACCACCAGTGGCGAGTACACAACCTGGCATGTGGCAGCAGGATGAGCCGAGCCAATGAGTGTCAAAAAGAAACAGGTGTTACAGGCAGGAAAAATTTGGTTTCATTTTCTTTTTATCCTGCTCATGCAGGCGTTGAAATACAGTCATCAACAAATCCAGATGATGGAGTTTTCAAGTTCATGGCGTTCTCCTGTTGGCATCAAAGATGAGTAATCTTGGAAGAGGTGTAACACAAGTGGGGGCTTAGATGGCAAGTCTTGGATGCAATTAAGATGAAACAGCCTTCACTGTCCGTGCTCAGATTTCTTTCTGTGGTTCCCAGGCTGTTAGTCACGTCTTGGGAAATGTCAGTGCCTGACCTTGGCTGTGTGCTGTGTAGCCGCGTCCACTGCATGGCCTGCCTGGAGTGGGGCAGGGACAGGCTCCTGATGGTGGCCACAGGATTTGGGAAGAGAGTCAGCTGAGGATGGTTGTCACCTTCCCGGCCCTTTGCCTGTGGTGCACATTGGATCTCCATCTCGGCCCTCCTTCTCCAAGCCCAAGAGTTGCCTGCAGTCTGTCTAGACAGCTGCCGCCCAGTGATAGCTGGGCATGTTGGATTAACCTCGATGCCCTGTTTGCCCCAGGGAAAGGTGGGGTGCAGGGCAGAGGTCAGGGCTGGGGCTGCCCCTTGTCACCAGGCCAGACGTGGAACAGCAGAGCAGTTGTCTTCCCAAGGCATGCCTGGTTTGGACTGGATCTAATCAGATTTCCCGGTTTGTGGCAAGACGTTTCAAAACAGCGTCATGTGTCTGTTCCCTGGTGATACTTGAAAAAAAGTACTGAAAAATGTTTAAATATTTCAAATACCCAGACAAGTGCAGAGACTTACTGGAGTACTTGCTCATTTACATCCCCCTCGAGTCCCTGACTTTCTGAACTCGCGGATGACACGTCTTAGTAACTGTGAAAGGTGCCGATGTTGGCGTCTGTTAAAATTACCATACTTCTGTCCCTGGAAAGTCTAAAACACGTGGCCTGCCTGGAACGCTCCGGGGATGGTTGGTGCTGCCTGGCTCCGCCCTTTCCTATGGTCTCGTTCGTTACGTCACTGTCCCGTCATTGTCGTCTAGACGGTTTCTCTTCATTCATTTTCAAGGAGGTGTATGTGTTTAAATCCTTCTCCCCAAGTCCTCCTCCTTCACTAGTTCAGGGCTCCCTTGTAATGGGCAGTTCAGTGGGTCCCGCTGGACAGAGCTAATGCCGTCTCCACGTCCCCTTCCCATAATACACTTCATCATACCTGATGCCGCACACGTGACTCACTCTGTCAGTAACCTCTCCTTTCTCCCCAAGCCGGCGTGGCATCTCTCCACGTATGTTGACCTCCCTGGAGGAGACAGGCGAAGGTTCCTTTACTTTGCGTCTCAGGCTTAGGTGATGGATAGAGAGCATCTGTTGGGTAGGCTGAGGCTCTCCCTCGGGTTAATTAACGCGGGTAAGGGCCACGGACGGTTTTTTCCTTCTTTTACCGTGATGGCTTTCTGGGACCGGAGTCCTGTGTTATTTAGGATGTGTGGATGGATGACTGATTACTTTTAACTCTTCCTTTTGGTCTGAGCTCAGGATGGCTCACAGGAGTCAGTGCCCACTGCGCATGCATTGGAGGGGCTACCGGAAAGTTTACCACCATCCATTTAAAGGGAGATGCCTGCTGGAAAAGAAGGGTGAAAGGTAGAGGAGAGCCTGGGTGAGGGTGAGTCAGGAAGGACTGGGGAAGGGGGTGTGGTGGCCATGGCAATTTGGTTGAAGAGTTTGGGGACCCTGGGTGCCTGCAGAAATGGAACCGTTTTTTTTTTGTTTTTTTTTTTGCGGTACGCAGGCCTCTCACTGTTGTGACCTCTCCCATTGCGGAGCACAGGCTCCGGATGCGCAGGCTCAGCGGCCATGGCTCACGGGCACAGGCGCTCCGCGGCATGTGGGATCCTCCCGGACCGGGGCACGAACCTGTGTCCCCTGCATCGGCAGGCGGACTCTCAACCACTGTGCCACCAGGGAAGCCTGGAACCGTTTTTTAAAACTCTAAATCATCATGGTCTGGTACCATAAAAATAAATTGCTAGGAAAAGTGAGATTAAAGAAAGAAGAAAGTGCCCCCCTGCGCACATGGCGCTGCGAGTGGCACGGAGCGTGCGGGCCGCGGTCTGCAGCCTGCGCGCCGTCTCTGCGCCCAACGTGCCCTGCCCGCCGCGGCCCTGGGGACTGCGGGCGGGCGCCGTCCGGGCGCTGCGCACCGGACCCGCTCTGCTGTCGGGTCGTAAATTCACAGACAAACATGAATGGGTAACAGCAGAAAACGGTGTTGGAACAGTGGGAATCAGTAATTTTGCACAGGAAGCTTTGGGAGATGTTGTTTACTGTAGTCTGCCTGAAGTTGGGACAAAATTGAACAAACGAGGAATTTGGTGTTTTGGAAAGTGTGAAAGCTGCTAGTGAACTCTATTCTCCTCTATCAGGAGAATTAACTGAAATTAATGAAGCTCTGGCAGAAAATCCAGGACTTGTCAACAAATCTTGCTATGAAGATGGTTGGCTGATCAAGATGACACTCAGTAACCCTTCAGAACTAGATGAACTAATGAGTGAAGAATCATATGAGAAATACGTAAAATCTATTGAGGAGTGAAAATGGAACCCCTAAATAAACTAGTTTGAAACAATCTAAAAAAAAAAAAAGAAGTATAAAATACTAGCCTTCAATTTTATTATGAGATTCAAAGACATAGAGTTACCTTGTCCACTGACTGTAAAAGTTAAAAGGACACTTACCCTCAGTTTTGGTACTTAGCTCTTCAAAGACCAGAAACACTTGGTGGACTGGCCCCCCTCTGTGGATGCTCCCACCCGCTTTGAGTAGTAGCACTGACCTGGGAGATGGGGGTGTCAGCTCTGTTTCTGCTGGAGGGCCCACCCTGACCTCTCTGAATCCTGGTTTTTATGCTACAAAGTGAAAGTGTTATTGGTCTGCAGGGCACTGTTCTCCCCGACAGGAGATGAGGAACCAGGAACAGTGCCCATTTCTGTGTTCCTCACCCAAATGGTGATCTCTCTTTATAAAGATCCATCTGGAAGGGACCTGCTGGGGGTTATTTCATATACGCCTTTGGCCACCTTGACCAGATGTCTGCCCAGCTCATTTGAAAGGCACACGTCCTGCGTTTGTGACCTTCTGTAACAGAAGGACCTCTGTGTGTGTGTGTGTGTGTGTGTGTGTCTGTACGTATAGTCATACCCAGTGCAAGTTTCTTTTTCCTAGTTCATAGTTTTAGGCTGGTGGAGGTGGGGAAATTACCCCTTTTAAGAAGTCATTTAGCATAATAAATGCTGGAGAGGGTTTGGAGAAAAGGTAACTTTCTTGCACTGTTGGCAGGAATGTAATTTGATACAGCCACTATGGAGAATAGTATGGAGGTTCCTTAAAAAACTAAAAATAGTTACCGAGTGATCCAGCAATCCCACTCTTGGGCATATATCTGGAAAAAGTAGAATTTGAAAAGATATATGCACCCCAGTGTTCATAGCAGCACTATTCACAATAGCCAAGACGTGAAGCAACCTAAATGTCCATCAGCAGATGAATGGATAAAGATGTGGTACATATATACAACAGAATATCACTCAGCCATAAAAAAGAATGAAATAATGTCATTTGTAGCAACATGGATGGACCTAGAGATTATCATACTAAGTGAAGTAAGTCAGACAAAGGCAAATATTATATCACTTCTATGTGGAATCTAAAAAATAGTACAAGGGGCTTCCCTGGTGGCGCAGTGGTTGAGAGTCTGCCTGCCGATGCAGGGGACACGGGTTCGTGCCCCGGTCCGGGAAGATCCCACATGCCCCAGAGCGGCTAGGCCCGTGAGCCATGGCCGCTGAGCCTGCGCATCCGGAGCCTGTGCTCCTCAACGGGAGAGGCCACAACAGTGAGAGGCCTGTGTACAGCAAAAAAAAAATAAACAATTAAAAAGAAGTAGTACAAATGAACTTATTTACGAAACAGACTTACAGACATAGGAAACAAACTTATGGTTACCAAAGGAGAGGGGTGAGAGATAAACTGGGAGTATGGGATTAACAGATACATACTACTATATATAAAATCACAGCAAGGATTTACTGTATAGCATGGGAAACAATATTCAATATCTTGTAATAACCTAAAATGGAAAAGAATCAGAGAAAAAGGAATATAGATATATACATATATATGTATAACTGAATCACTGCTGTACACCTGAAACTATTACAATATTTAAAATCAACTCTACTTCAATTAAAAAAAAAAGTTATTTAGCGACCAAGGCTAAATAGGCGCTGGCTTCGTGAACCCCTGCCCTCCAGGATCACCCTGCGGTGGCGTTCATTCTACCCCCTGGAAGCGGGCACAGGCGCAGGTCCCCTGGCCTCACCTTGCTGGGACGTGTCATCCACCTGTGCGTCTAGGGAGGAGAAGGGAACAGGCATTCAGTGAGTAGCGAGCATTGCCCACAGGCCCCCTTTCTCCTGCTTCTGTGATTCACTTGTCAGAATCTTGTCCACTCTTGCATTCTTTTATCCACGTGAACTTGCTTACTTCTCTTTTACTCCTGTTCGTGATTATGGTCCGGCGTTGCATTTTTATGCCCTGAGTAAGAAACAATGGGAAGAGAAGATTGGAAATTGCCTCAGAATTAATGGACATTGATTATACTGGCCGCTCTCAGCAGCCATGACTAGTGCTGACCGTGAGAGGAAATTGACCACGTGCCATCGGCCGCATTTGGATTTTTTTTTTTTTTTAAATCAAGGTATGTGTGAGGGGAGAGTACTGCTTAGTCTTTTAAAAGTAAATAGCACTTAAGCAGAAGGAGCCGGTTGGAGCAGGGGCAGCCAGTAACCCTTGTTGAAAGGGGGAGGTAACGTACTTGATAAAAAGCTGAAGTAACGCTAATAGTTTTGTAAGTGCACTTTCTTCCGGCAGCAAACCAGAGAGTCTGAATGTGAGGTGAGATTGTGGGAAGGACAGGGGTGTGTGTGTGTGTGTGTGTGTGTGTGTGTGTGTGTGTGTATAGTGGAGCTGGTCTTGGCAGGAGGGTTGCAGGTTTAGCATCCTTCTGGAGCCACATGTGGTATCATGTCAGCCAGGATAACTGGACTAGGCATTGTGACCAGAGGACCTACTACAGAAAACTGGGTTTGTAGGTGACGGAAGAGGTGACATTGATGTACCAAAGAGCATGTGACAACCCAGAGATGTGCAGCCACCAGAAGAAATCCACCCCGAGGACTGCAGGGAGCATGGGAGTTGGAAGTGTTACCAGAAACGGGAAGTAGACCCTTTGGAAAGGGCTGCATCCCTGGAGGAGATGCTGGTGGGTGGATGGAAAGTGGATGAGAGACCCCGACATCTTCCCAGCGCCTGTCCTCCCAGCTGCTGCTGCTGTCTCCCGCAGGCCAGCCCTACCTGGAAGCCAGTTGGTGAGGGAGTTGGGGAAATGTAGTTTCCTACCATACGTTGCAAAAATGACAAAGCATCCAGAGAATGTATGTGAGAGCAGAAAGGTAGATGGCTGGCCTGGGGAGTGTAACCTTTTGGTGGAGAGAAAGAAAGATAAATAGGTTAAGTGGAAGATTGCTTTAGGGAAGAAATTTCCTGAGTTTTGGTTTTTGATTTCTTTATTCTATGCCATACTCCCTTGCCTGTGGTTCTCTACCACCATCTAAGTTCTTTTTTCACAGTTTTGTTAAGCCTTTTACACCATGTGATATGTTATGGACATATTTGACTCCCCAATAATAACATCTGTGGAGTGCTTCCTGCACATGGGGAAGTTTTCAGTGCTTTATCTGTATCCAGTCATTGAATCATCAGAGCTACTTTGTGAGTCTGGTACAGTTGATCCTCATTATTTGCGGATTCTGTATGTGCAAATTTGCCTCCTTTTTACAACTTATTTGTATAACGCTCGAATCAGTAGTTGTAGCACTGTGCGACCCTTTGTAGACACACACAGAGTGGAGGAAAATTTGAGATACTGATGTGCATGTTCCCAGCTCAGATGGGACATACTCTGCCTTCTTGTTTCAGGTCTCCTACTATAATGAGGTGTCCTCTTCGTGGTCTCATTAGTGCAACTCTTGGCATTTTTGAGCTTTTTTTGGTTGGTGAGTTTGTTGTTTAAAATGGCCCGCAAGGGTAGTGTTGGAATTATATCTAGAGTTCCGAAGTGCTAGAAGGCTGTGCTGTGCCTTAGGGAGAAAACAGGTGTGTTAGATAAAGCTTCTTCAAGCATGAGTTATAGTCCTGTTGGCTGTGAGTTCAATATTGATGAATCAACCGCATATATTAAATAAGGTGTCTTAAAACGGAAGGACATAAAACATGGTTATGTATTTAAAAAAATAATTTATTTCTGATTTTTAAAAGATTTTAATAGGTGACAGCAAATTTTTAATGTATGTATGTATTTATTTATTTATTGGTCACGAGACACGTGGGATCTTCGTTCCCGACCAGGGATTGAACCCTTGCCCCCTGCAGTGGAAGCGCAGAGTCTTAACCACTGGACCGCCAGGGAAGTCCCCATGGTTACGTGTTGATCAGTGGACAAAAATGTTCTGACCAGAGGCTCACAGGAACCTAAGCCCGTATTCCCTTCCCCTAGGATCACTGGTTTAATATTTTCCAAGTCAGTGTTCACAGAGATGTTTGTAAAGTATCACTACCGCAAATAATGGGCACCGACGGTGCCACTGTTATCCCCAGTTTGTAGGTGGAGACTCAAGCATGTAGAAGTCAAACAAGTTGCCCAGCGTCACCCAGTGGGATGAGAACCCAGGCAGTCTGGCTTCCCTGCCCTTTGCTCCTGTGCTCTACACTTTCACATTTCCTACTCTTTTCCACCTTCTGGATCTGCTGTTCGTGCTGTTGGAACCAACCCTGGGGCTGTTTCCAGTGACAAAACTCCTATTGGTAAAGCCAGCAGTTACCCCTGGCTGAGACTGCTGATGTGTGTAATTCTGAAATAAAGGTAATAACATTTGACACCTGGATGAAAACCTTCACTTAGTTCCAATAGTTAGTTCTCAAGGCAGCTCTTAGAAGCACACATCACCCTCCATTTCATAAATAAAAGCTGGCATCTTGGGAGGTTGTGATTTGGTCAGAGCCCCAGGGTGAGAAAGTGGTAGAACAGAGACTCAGATCCAGGTTTCCTGTCCCCGAATCACCGGCTCTTTTTTTTTTGCAATATCCAGGCTGCCTCTCCCAAGGCTGTCTGGGGACACTATGCTTACCTTGCTGCTTGTTCTGATTTGCTGCTCCCACGCTGCTTTGATCTGGAGGAACCACAGCAAGTTAGAATCGTGTGTAAAAGAAGTGATTCGGGGGTGGAGGCATGTCCGGAAATATTTTCTTTACGGTGGCCATTTATGCCCGTGTTTATAGAATATCTCTCTTGGGCTAGAATGGCCTTTTGGGGAAGATGTTCGTTTTGTTTCCGTTCATTAGGTAAATATTTGAAAATAAAGGAAAAATAATTTGAGAGGGCTGCTGGCATTTTTTTCAGTGGCACACCCTCTCTTTGTGTATTTAATTAAATGTGTGTTTGAATAAGAAGTGGATGCACTTGCTAAGAATGAAAAGGGAGCTCTAAAAATAAACCACGTCTCCCTTCCCCGGGGCAGCACTGGGCTTGATTTCCTGTGTTTCTTCAAGGTGTTCTAACCTCCACCCGAGGGCCTCTGAGCTGTTGGTGAAGGGCGACCTTTGTTACATCTTGGTCCAAGGGTATGGGAGTGTATGTCTGTGTATGCAGTGGAGAGAGCCCAGGCAGGCAGATTAACATCCTGTAACATACAGGACGGTCCCACAGCAAGGAATTAGCCCGCCCAAATAGCCAACGGTGCTGACGTTGAGAAACCCTGCTTTAACCCTCACTATAAACTGCAAGGGCTGTCTTAATGTGCGCAACACAAAAACTTTTGTGTCTGAACTTGGACGTTTATTTTGTGTCTTCAGAGGCCTTCTGTCTGCAGGGTTCTTTTGGCTGTGTGCAGCTGCCTCCCATGGGTGGAGCCATGGGAGCGGACCCCTGCAGGTGGGGCTGTCAGGCGGGGCAGCCTTTACAGAGGCTAAAACCCGTACAGCTGACTTCAGCCAGTCTGCGTTTTGATACCACCACGTGTGTGCAAATCCGAAAAAAGCCACTGATAAAATAGTTTCTGGGAAAAACTCTTTTGCTCCTCTAAATTCTGAATAGTTGCTGCTGTTAATAATTATATATACATATGTGTGAGTATACATTTATTTACACACATCAGATTAGCACACTTAAGAAAAAGTTTCCCTTTAATAAGCATCGTATTGCACATGGAAATTAACTTGGGCACCTCTGTTATACAGTTGGCCC